AAGTGTCAATGAAAGACAAAGATGTTGAATATTAATATGATCGAATTGTTATTCAAGAAAAGTGAGAAACTCTTAAACTTAACCAAATATGTCATTTATTTGAGTAGAACCCAGATGTTCTGTTTCTTCCTTGGCCCCAATTCCCCGATTCTATTTCTTCCTTCCACCATTACATTCAGCACCAGCTTCGCATGTAGTTTCCCTACATAAAATGTCAAAAATTATGGGATTTACTTTATATATTAGTGATGACTCGTGTGATGCATGGGATTTGTTAAGTTAAAGATAAACAATAAAAACATGTAAAAGCATGCAATTGTTTTACATAATAGTTATTAATCATTTATATTTTATATACTACTTTTAATATTTTTTATAATACAAAATAACAATAATTAATATTAGATAGGGTTGTTTATCAAACTTAAGGATGGCAATTTTCTCCATTTCCACGATACCAGTGGGTTTTGCCCCGAATGAGGCAAGGATGGGGATGATTTTCCCCTATGGGGACGAAGATGGGGAAATTTTCATCCCCATTGGCGGGGATGGGGAGAGCATGCCCTGCCTTGATCCCCGCCTTATGGGATCCCTGCTAATATATATGTATATCTACGCATACATTTATATATATATGTATATATGTACACATACGTCTATATGTTAATATTTTTTAAAATGTGGTTGAATATGTTTGAATCTTTACTGATAGGATTGTAAATTTTAATTACTTTATTTTTATTTTTTAAATACAATAAAAAACAAAAACACAACGGTTGACATTATAAAGAATTACGGGGATGGGGATAACTTTGTCCCCGTTAGCGGGGATGGGGATGGGGATGGGGATTTTCACAGGGACAAGGACGAGGAGATGCTTCTCGTCTTCGCCATGCCCCGTTGCCATTTTGAATCAAACTAATGAAACTAACCAATCCAATTTATAGTATTTATAGTCGGCTTTGGTTCAACAATTTCCCAACTCAACTAGGTTTGATCAATTTCACTTTGGCCATTTGTAAACTGATTAAAATCGAACGACTTGACCATAGATATATATTAATTTTAACATGGGAAAGTGGGAATTTCCAATATTTCTTAGGCTAAAACAGTTTATGTTATAAATTTAATTTTTAAATTTAATTTTTTTAATAATGCCATTGTAGTTTTTTAAAATCTAAAGATAAGTTTTAAATTTAATTTTATAAGTTTAAACCAAACCAAAAATTGACCCAAACTAATATAACTTGAGTGACCAACCCCCAACCTAACCAGGTCGATTTGGTTGGCCAAACAACCTACAATTGAGTCGAACCAACCCATGAACAATAGTTTAATCTCCAATAATTATTAAAAATTTATAGTGAAAATATACAATAAATTAAATTTAAAAAAGCTAAATAATAGTAGTTTAAACTCTAATAATTATTGAAAAATTTCTATTAAATAACAAAACAAAAATAGATTTATACATAGTTATTGAAAATGTATTTATCACAAAAAACAATAAATAATTATTGAAATACAATAAATATTAATTTTAGTACAGATAAATATATAACAAATAAAGATTAAGTTTTTAAATTTATTATTAATAAACAATAATTTTTTTGAAAGTTATTTTTTATAATTATTAATTAGTACTATAAATGAAACTAGTTATTTACAATATTATTTATTTATTGAAATAATATCATTGTTTAAATTTTAAAATATAATTACTTGTTGAATTTAATAATCCATAAAATTATAGTACTATTAATACATAATTTTATTATTTTAACTATTTAAAATATAGTTATGTTAAAAATTTCGTTATTTAAAATATTTAGTTATTTAAATAAGTATTTAAAATCTTAATCTATTTACTATAATTGAAAATTATTCAGTAACTATTTAAAATATATTATTAATTAATTTAAAATATTAATTTTAATATTTAGTTATTGAAATATTTAAATAATATTTCATTTTTAATGTTATATTTTTTATTATTTGAATAGCATTTAGATCGATAATCCATAAAATCATAATTTATATTGTTTGTACATAATTTTGTGATGAAATTTGTAAAAATATATAATTATTAATAATATGTATACTATTAGATTGATTATAATTGTTTTTGTCTTTTTAATAAATATTTTAAAGTTATTATTATATTTAAATAATTCTTAATTTTTTAATTCAAAAATCTTTAGATAAATGTAGATAAAAAGTGGGGGAAAAGATAAATAAGAATTAGAGATAATTTATGAGAGAAACTCTCTACTAAATTAGATATAACTTAGGAGACAGTTGGGGAGAGTGAGGAAGTTTGTTTAGGAAAAATTTTATGATATTAGATTATTTAGGTTATTGGAACATGTGGGAGAGAGATGGGGGTGAGAGGTTTTAGGATTTTTTTTGGGAAGTAGAGTTTTAATTGGTAGTTTCGAAAATGACATGTAATAAAAAATTCAAAAATTCAAAAAAATATAAGTTTTCTAGACGTTCTTGTTTTAAAATATATATTATCATGAAAAGATGACGACATATATGAAAGAGGATATGTTTTTGTATTATCATTCAAGACCAACCATGGAGCCACAGTACACTGAAGATGAAGGAGGAGAAAAAGAAGAAGGGAGAGGGATGAAAGGTAAAATTGGGTTTAAAAAAATTATATGTTACCTGGTGTCACATGTATGGATTTTGACGGAACATTAATAACGATAGGGATAGAGTTAATCAGTTAGATAAAAAATAAGAGTAGTTTAAAAAATTTGCCCTTTTGAAAAAAATGAAGGTATCAGTTTAGTTTGAATTAATCAATGGTTAACCAAATGGGTTAGTATATTGTTTTCACACATATTATAAATTTTCCTATATTTATATATATTGCCTGTACATTTTATATTATCTATATATTATAAATGAATATATATATATATATGCATTATATATGTTATAATATATAATCTACTATTTATTATTTACAATAATAGTACACCATACTCAATCAAGCCATAAGACAGGAAATCCAGATTTCCTCGTCGTACGTACCTCACAGCACGTGGCAACAACACACGACAAACTTTTTTTCTTTTTTTTGGTACTTGATACGTTTTCAATTCGTTCAGGACGAAAAGCTTCCAAGGTTGCGTTTGTTTGTGATACAAACGCAAACATGTACAATGCAAAAAGGCCCCCAAATCGGTTCACGAAATTTTCTAAACCAATTTGTATTGTTGTTGTTTGTTTTCAATCGAAGCAAACGCCTATACATTTTTGTTGGCGTTTGGGAGAAAACATCAGAGCAAACATTAAATGCTCTACAAACGGGGATATGCTTTTTAGATTTGTAAAACGGGGTTTATGTGAAATGTTGAAAGTAGCGGATATGTTTAAAAAAGAAGAAGAAAAAACTGAGAGAAAGTAGTGGATATGATTTCCTGAAGTGTACCGGGTAGAATGTATAACACAACTTGTGCTACACAAGCAAATAGTAATTACAAATACACCAAAACTAAAGCCCTGTTTGGTGCATTTTTTTGCGGGGTCTTTCGGCTGCTTATAAGTTGAGAAGACCGAAAATCGGTTTATTCGCGTTTGACACGCAAAAGATCTTGTTGCCAAAAGATGGGACGTCGAAAAAACGTGGTAAGCCCATTTTAGGCTGATTTCGGGAAGCTTCAAATGAAACTTTTCACATCTTTTGCGTTTTAATCTCGTGCGAAAAGACCCAAAACAACGCACAGAAATATGCGCATCTGCCAAACGGTCTTCGGGCTGCCCAGATCTTATGTCAAAAGCTCAATGCGTCTATTGACTATCAAGCTACGAGAAGATCTTCTCAAAAAAACTTGCCCAATGGGCTAAGGCAGTAGTGAGTATACACAATAATAATAATAAAGGAAAAACATGTTTACTAGTTATATTCAATGGATTTTTAGGCCCCGTTCGCTTTTTGGTAATTTACTTACCTGGGTAATTTACCCATGTTTTTTTATTTTCCATGCAAACAATATAATGACCATTTTAGTTATAAAAATCCATTATTATAAGGGGCATTTTGTCTCATTCAAATATTGATAATTTTCGCCTAAGGTGGAAAAATTATTTACCCACTTAGGAGATGTGTATCACTTATTGGGTAAGTGGTCATAGGAATATAAACTTTTCATTGTCCCCACATAAATCTGAAAAAAAAAAAGATTTTTGATTAATAATAATCAAAATCTCATTGACCAACTTTCACCATCTCAAAATCCAAGAAAAGAACACCCCTTGGTAAAATCTATTGTTGCCATGGTAGGGTTTAGCAGTGACATCAACCACCTCTCATGAATGACTGATGCATCCGTAAAGTTCGTTTACTCTGAAAGTAAATGTTTGTATTGAAGAAATCAATATGAAAATGTCTTCATTTCTCAAAACATAACTGTCAAAAAAATACAATTTCCCACTGTTTTACAATATAAAAATATATTGCAAACAAATTCCTATAAATCTGAACCAGAGTTAAATGTACCCATTTTGTGTTTCTATCGTAAACAAACGCAGCCAAGAAAAAAGATCTGAAGTTAAAATATACAAATAGAAGGACCAAGGCTGCAATGTCAACGTGTCAGATACCGGTGTGTATGGGTGTAAGGCTTTAAGCTGTTGATTGGTTTGCCAATTAGGGCTTGGAGTTTGAACTATATGTCTTGCTGATCGATAGGTAGTAGGAATTGCTGCCCCGCCTTGTGAAAAGAAAAGGAAAGAAAAATAAGGTAATTTACAAATTACAATTTCCCGTTACCGTAAAAAAAAGTCTCTCTCTCTCTTTCCCTCCGGGATCTTTGATCACGATCACGATGCAAGTTTTTACGATATCCTGTTTTTTCCGGTATCATAGTCGAACCCTTATTTTTAACGTGAATTAATAAAAATCAGGAGCGCTAGATCATACGTTTTGTCCCGAGGGCCCACACATAATCGAGAATTAAAGAGATCGATAATGTACGGAAAAAGGTCATCCGCATTGCATTATTACAATACCTTCACTTCGCCGGCTTGTCTGTCAGGAGGCCTTCAGGGTGGGTTCGTAAACCCTCACTACACTTCGTCGTCGTCGTCTTCTTCCGCTTTCCATTTGCGCTTTCTTGGTCTGACTTCTGATATTAGGGTTTTAGAAGATCAGAAGAACCTAGATTGCGTCTTTTGTAGGTCGTGAGGATGGGTGCGGACAAGGGGAAGAAATCAAAGGTTGCAGAGGGGGGAGAGGAGGAAGATTCAGATCACGTTGATGGAGAGCTTGTTCATTCCATCGAGAAGTTGCAGGAGATACAAGACGAGCTCGAGAAGGTAAACTCTTTTTTTTTTTTCTTAATGTCACCGTTTTCTTCATCTTCCTCCCTTTGGACTTTGAGCTTGATCTTCTATATATGTTTTGGTTGCTTACGCGAGAGGGTAATCATTTCTGGAATTCCAGTGAAGGACAGTACTTGTTTCCTCTCAGTGCGTAGATTCAAGAACGATTTATTATTATTGCTGCAGTTGTTGATGTTTTTTTTTTTTTTTTTTTTTTCTTTTTCTTATTTTTTCTAGTGGTTGTTATAGATATGGCTTATACTGCCGTTCTCATTGTTATTGAACCATTGGCGTCATTTTGTTTGTTTTACTACGCTATTTTCGTTTTCTTCTATTTCATTTCGAAACCGACGGCGGACAGCGTAAATGCATACCAATTTCTTTTCAGAGTGCAATTCTCCCCTCTCGACTCAAATTCGCACATTCAATTTCTGGCACGGGCACATTGTTGCCTTTATACTGTTGGTTTTGTGTGTGTGTTTTAAATTTCTATTCCTTGGTTGTTTCAATTTTAAATGAAGAGAGAGGCGTTCAATCATTATCGTTTTTGTTGTTTTGGGTTCAGTGAGAGAATGTAGTTTTTTTTTTTTTAATTATTCTTCTGTAAACGTAAGGCTTCAAGTTCTATTCGATTTTCATGTTCATATGTCTAGTTTACGTCATTAACAATCGACTAATCAAGTTACCAAATATTTTTGAAGAGATTTTGGTTTTATTTTCACCCGGAAAGTTGGAAGTTTTAGCATTAATTATGTCTTTTTTGGTGGTAGATCAATGAAGAAGCAAGTGACAAGGTTTTGGAGGTGGAACAGAAGTACAACGAGATACGGAGGCCTGTTTACAATAAGAGGAATGAGACCATTAAAACTATTCCTGACTTCTGGTTAACTGCTGTTAGTTATCCATCTTTCACAAACTTTGATTCTTATTTTATTACTGGAGTACTTAACTTTAACAAATATTTGATTACTGACTCTTTTGATCCAATCCAATTAACTTGTAAAGGTTTTTGTGTGCAGTTTTTGAGTCATCCTGCACTTGGTGATCTTTTGAGTGAGGAAGACCAGAAGGTTTGACTCTCCTTTCTTATATACATGAACTGTATCTAAAATCAGCAAGAATTTGTTCCCCATTCTTAATGCCCAATAACATTTTTCATTTCTTTGCTGTGTTTAGTTTCTGGAATTGAGTGGTGAAATGTTGTAGGAAGGATGTTATTAACATCCTTATTAGACTTTGAATGGGTTGTATGCTTGACTTCATGATAGCTCCTTCTTACTTGTTGTAGATTTTCAAGTTTCTAAATTCTCTGGACGTTGAGGACTTTAAGGATGTGAAATCGGGGTACTCCATTACCTTTGTGAGTTTCTTTCTCTTCTCTCATCTGATTTGTTTATGATGGCACTTGTAAATGGTATGGTTTTTCAGTTCTTTTTTTTCCTTTCCTTTCTTTTGGGATGATATTATTATGAAGATTGGTTTATGACTTTATTTCAATTCATGATTTTATTGAGTACTCAGTAAATCCTTTCCTTCTAATGCTCAGAGTTTCAATTCCAACCCTTACTTTGAAGATACAAAGCTCACAAAGGCTTTTACCTTCTTTGATGAAGGAACAACTAAGATAACTGGTACAACAATCAAGTGGAAGGAGGGCATGGTATGGGTGATTTTCCCATGTTACTTGTACACATCATTCACTTTCTTATACAAATCTCTGATTATATTTATTTTGCATTTGAAGGACATTGCAAATGGAAGTAATCATGAGAAAAAAGGAAGTAAACGCCTATTTGCTGAGGAAAGGTTGGTTTCTTCACCTAACCTATTTCACATATTTTTTTATCATACACACTGCAAATAGTCATGAATAGTAAACCTTCCACAGAAATGTGTTTATAACTAGTTCTGCATTGCTGTTGTTGTTGTTATTGTGATTGATGTTGCTTTCCCGATGAACAAATTGTGATACACAGAAACATATTTGTCAAAGTGACTAAGCAAGGCTAAGTGACCATATATTTATAGATTTATAAATCTATAAATCTATAAAATTTATAGATTTCTACACTTCCTAAACTATTTTTATAAGTTATATTTGCTTACTAGCAACACATCACTCTAAGAATCATCAATAAAATCTTTCATATAAGTGTAATTTTCATGTGAAAATATAAAAATTGAACATTTAAATTAAAAGAAATAAGCAATCAAGCAAGTGGCTGATAAAAAAAAAAACAATCAAGCAAGTGAAGTGAGAGTAACAAGTCTAACATGGCAACACTAAAAAAACTAATAATTTACTAATTTAGTTTAATAAAATCATACCTTTTGGATGATTGAGTGTTGACCTTCTTGAGTATCCTTTTTTCTACTACTTTGCCTTCAAAAAGAAAACAAATTAAAAGAATCAATCAATTAATAAGAATTCAACTTTGCCATTAACAAATGGAAGAAACACTACAACAAAAATAAAAAATTTCATAAGAATTCAATATCAATCCTTTAAGGATTAAAACACATACCTTGGTTGATGCTTGATAGTTTATGTAGGAACTAGGAAGTAGCCAATTAGGAAAAAATAAGATGAAAGTCATAAAACCAATAAAAAACAAAAAGCATAATACCATATAATGGAAAAGTATAAATCATTATTCATTTCGACAAGTCTACAAAAAAATAAATATGAAGTTTAAAACATTAAATATATCATAGACTATCTTTAAAGAAAACTTTGTATTCTCTAATTGGTTGGAGTGTCTAAGAAGTAAGAACCACCAACATCCTTAGCACCACAATCAACATCTTCATCCTTGTCATCATCATTGTCATTGTCATCATCATGATCATCTTCAACATCAATATTTTCTTCTTCATCTTCATTATCTTCCATATTTTTGTCCCACATCGAGTCTTCTTCTTCTTCAACAACAACGACATTTTTGCCTTTAACTTATCTTCCTGACTCACCTCTCCCACGACCACCCCCACCTCCACCTCCACCTCCACCTCTACATCTACCTCTACTTGCACCCACTTGCATTTCCACACCCATGTCCACTTCTCCTTGGCCTATTTGATCATTCAAGGATTTCAAATGCCCCTAACGCTTCATCAACTTGAGTCCATGTAAGATCACACCCTTCATAAACCAAGTCATTTGAGGGGTCTTTCCCAGTCAACCATTCACTAGTTTCATCTACGTCATCAAAGCAAATAGGGTCAAATTGCTTTGGATTTGCACGTCTTGTCGTAAATCTTCTCGGAGGCGTTGATTGTATTGAACAAATACAAGATCATTAGGCCTCTTTTGATCAAGCCTATTCCCCTTTTTTGTTTGAATCTACATTCACAACAAAATAAGAAAAATTATAAAAATAAGTATTTTTAACTTTCATAATTAATTTTATCGGAAAACCAACCATTACTTAGAACTTACATGCTCAAAAGTGCTCTAGTTGCGCTCACAAGTAGAAGAAGTGCATGTAAGGCCTAATATGCGTAATGAAATATGCCTAAGGTCTGGGGTGCAATGTCCATAGCTATGCCACCAATCAACTACAAAATAGAAAAAAATGAATTAAGACAATATAAATTTAAAATATTAGGAATAAAATATAAATATAAGTTTCAAGAAAAGAGAGCTTGTATTACTTGGTTGCTTTGTTTCACGTTGCCTAATTGCCAATTCTTTAGAGAAAGCCCCATGGGTGTGCTTATACTCTTCCAATTGATGAGAGATCTTGTCTTGAATTTCAATATTACTGGCCACTCTCTCAATGTAATCTAGAAAGCCCATTTCAAACTTTATAACCGATGCTTCATCTTGTGCTTTAGCCTTGTAATAAAGGGTTGGATTGAGGAAAAAACCAGCAAGGTGTAATAGATGTTGCATCATATTAGTTCAACACCTATCAAAAATGTCTAAAATGGGCTTATACTCCCTCTTTTTCCCACTAAAATTTTCTTTTATTTTCTCTTTTTCTCACTCCATTGCATGATAAAAATAACCCATTGCGGGTTTCTCATCACCATCAAAACTGTAAAACCTCTATAGTTGGTTGGGCAACCAAAAGAAAAACTTTTACATTTTTCCAAAACCCAATAGAAAGTACAATGCTTGATTCTCTTAGTCTGTCTGATTTGTTAGCCCATTTACTCTTGTTCCACACATCACTAATAAATAAAGCATGCAATAGCTCCTTGAAAGATTCAGGTGGGTTGGGTTAGGAGATCGACCAACAGTTTGGTTGATAGCTTAACAAAGCAAGGGGTTCAAAGAACATATATGTTTTGGGCACATTTGTAATTTTGTCCTGGGTCAGCTTCTATGCTGATTTCTTTTGCAACTTCTTGTTGTATCCTAAAGCATTTTAATTAAAGAAATTTTTTCAAAGTTATTGATAAAAATAAAAAAAAGGCTCCTCGAAAGTATACAAACTTTATAAAGTTAGAGAAGAGGTGGCAAACCTTGTAACTGCACATCGTACAAGATCTCTTCCATTTGTTTTTTTCATGTGTGCAAGAAGAAGAGGATGCCTATAAATAAAAGCAGTTACTTGTCTTGCCCTAGCAATACAATTCTTTGTAGACCTCAATTCTCCAATGTCTTCCAACTATACCTGGCAAAAAAGTTGACCTAACCTGCAAACCCAACCCAACCCAAAAAAACAGGGTTAGGGTCTCATATTCAGCTACTCGAATGTGAGAATGACCTGACCCAACCCAGAAAAACTGGGTTGGGTTGGGTCATGGGTCAACTTGTTGACCCAATTGTCAAGTTTAATTGGGACTATTTATGCATTATTAGAAGTTTCCACTCTTTAATTTTTTCTATTTAGTCTTTACTCTTTAAATTGTTAAATGTTCAAGTTTTTTTATTTTATATTTGGAATTTTAAGGTTATTTCCTTTAATTTTGGCATTTTTCATGTAGTTTTCTTTTTTTTTTTTTAATTTCAGTTATTTTTTGGGATGACTCGAATTGACCCATGGGTTAACTCTAACCTGAACATTTAGGGTTGGGGTCTAGCATTTGATAACCCAACTTGAAATCAACATGAAGTGTTTTGACCCAACCCGAACCCAATTGCTAGGTCTACTTCTAACATGAGGTCTAGACATTGAGCATCACAAGGAGTTCAAAATAAATTCTTCCTCTTCAATTCTAAAGGATCAATGACAACAACATAAGCAGAATCACATGTTCCTCCCCTATTTCTTCAACAACTTTATCAATCAACTCAAATAGGAAAGTTGCATTATGGACTTCATTTGATGCATCAACTGATTTTAGAAAAAAAGTCCCTTTAGGAGAATTCACCAAAAAATTGGTCAAAGATCTTTGCCTTTTATCAGTCCATCCATTAGACATGATGATATAATCATAAGTCTTCCAAGAAGCCGCATACTCCTTGTACAATTGCTTTGTTTTCTCAACCTCCCCTTTCAAGAGTGGCCCTCGTAGCTCATGGTAACTTGGAGGCTTTTATTTGGACCCAAATTGTGCGATTGCTTCAACCATAACTTCAAAACTTTTCAATTTCACCGTATTGAAAGGAACCCTGGCTTGATAAAACCACTTTGCACGTATTCATTTACTTTTTTCCTTGCTTCCTTCTTCAAATGACTTTCAATGCTTGTTTGAACCAATTGTCCTCTATGCCTCACTTCAACAACTTCTCTTGGACTTGGTCTCACAAAACTATCTATTGGTCCTTTGACATTTTCCTTCTTTTTTGGTGGAAAAGGGGAATTTGAAGTTGGAGTGCTTCTACCACTTGGAATGGAGACACCTACTTCTATGGGTTGATTACTTTGATTGTTGAAACTCCTTTCAGATATAATATGCTCCCATGCCCCATGATTATCTTCAATTGTAAAATCATCCAATGGTTTCTTCCTCTTATTCTTCTGCATGTATTCTAGCATCTCCTTGGCAATACTTGCAGTAGTTTTGGAACATTTAGTAGCATCCCCGTATCCGTAAATCAAATGTTGTTTTATCCTTTTTATTCCTCCTTTAACAATTTTACCACATAATAGCATGGAATTGCATTTTTATCTTCCAAATCATTGCAAAATGCATATTGCCATGTGGGGTACTTCGATTGAGCCTTATGCCTAGTACTACCAGTCTACCACTTCCCTCTTCAGTTGTCATTCTCTATTTCTATTAAAAAACCCAATCAGCAAATAAAACAAATTAGAAAACAAACAAAAATGTTATACTAGAAAATAATTAATCTATTTTATTCCTAAATTAAATAATGAGAAATATGAGTAAGAGAAAAAGACCAAGACCAAGGGCAAATCAGCAATGACAATAATTGATAAATTAATAAAAAACAAATAATAGTTTTTTTGATAAGTACACAAAAACAAATAAATAAATGTTAAATCAGAAATCAATTAATCTATTCAATAATTCAGTTATTCAGTTAAAAATAGAAATTAAATAAACATTTCAAGCAAGCAAGTTTCAGCTACATGATATAATCAAATTTCATTCAGCTATTCATATATTTCCTAAGTATGCAAGCAAGCAGTAATGCAAATCAGCAAATGCAATATACAAATAGAAATTAAATAAAAAAAAATTTCAGCCATATAATCAAATTTCAGACTTTCAGTTCAGCCATATATTAATGATATAAAAAAAATGCTTGAAAAAAAATAAAAGAGTACAAAACAGTGGATGTAGTCGCTAATTTATTCAACGAGAAGAAGAAAAGAAGAAGAATTGAAGAGTGGGGTTCGACTGTTAAAAAAATGTGGGGCATAGCTCCTGTTTTTATTTGAAAACTG